CTCCGTCCTGTAGACATCCTCCTCTCCTCGTAGAGGGGTCTAGGGCCCGTTAAGTAGCCCCTCTTCCGGGCTTCCTCTAAACACCATGCCCAGCATTCTCTCTCTTCTCTGGATACTGCTTCTTTCTCCTCCCTGAGACGTCTGCACCACTCTCGGGCCTCAGACTCTCCCCAATAGGAGGGACGTTGCAGCAGACCTCTTCTTCGGTAGTCTGCCTCCTCCCAAGGAACCCTCACTGTTTCCCGTTTACCAGTCCATGGGTCTTCTATCCATATCATCTCCCCATCCCCCCAATATCTCTGGTCAACATGCCCTTTTATATCCCCCATTTCTGCCTCCACGGTGGACCTCCCCCTTTCCTCTCTTCCTGCCAATTCACCTCCCGTTTGTGTGGCCACCGTCATTTTCAAAAGTTCCCACTCCAACTCCCGGGTGTCAATTCTCTGCTGTCTAGTTTTGCTGGGCGGTGTAGGCGGGTTTGTCTGTGCCTCCAGCTCTCTTTTGAGGGAGGATGACACTCTGGCGAGAGCCTTTACACTCCTGCCTTGAGTCTTACAGGTTCTTCAAGGTAGAACTACCCATCCTCCCCTCTGTCTCTCACACTACCCACAATTGTGCTGTGGCGTCCAGTGATCCTGGATGGAACTCTATATTAACGAAGGAGAAAAGTAAATCTCCAGAATGTTCTCAAGGGTCTCTGTGCAGATGCAGAAGGTACCCATGTATGTGAATTCACAGGATCACTGGAAGAGCCAGTTATAGGTTAAGTAATCTGGCCTTTTCAGGTTCAGAGCACCACAACTGAGAGTGTAATGTTACAGGTAACCATCCTCTTAGCTTCCAAAGCAGGAGGAAAAGAGCTTTAAAGTGACCATGCTACTAAGGCCCTTTTCTCCCTTCCTTGGAAGCAAAGTGGATTATTTCCTACAACATTACACTCTCAGTGTGTTGTGTTGCCCTGAACCAGGAATGCAATGACCGGAAAAACTTGTCCTTGCACTGGTTTTTGGGGAGGTTTCTGGTCCTTTGGGCCTTCATTCACTCAGCTTTTATACACTAGGTTTTACTTCTCTGCTGATCCTCTTTTTCTGCTGCATTTTTATGTGATTAACTGATACCGTTAGAAAAATTATTTCATAAATACAGGTATCTGGTAGTTATTTTACAATTTGAGCTCCTGCAATTAGCTTTAAAGATCATTTTTACGTAATTGTGTTAAATGTTATGTCTAGTTGTTTTATTGTAAAGCAGAATGGACAACTGTGGCCCTCCATATGGCTTTAATGTAAACCTCCCATCACTCCTTGTCAGCATAGCCCCTGGTGAGTTTATAAGCCAAACAAACTTCAAGATCCCTATGCACACCCCTATGGTAAAGCATAAACATGAAAGTCAATACCGCAAAAAGCTTAAAGCTTTATAGTTTTTAAGAATGTAGTGGATAGATCCCTATGGAGATTCACAGAAGTTATAAATGGGATTATGTAAATTATGGCCACAAATTGCCACTCTTATTTGGGAGTCACATGCCAGTCACACAACTTGGCACTTGGCCAGGAATGTGAGCAGCAACGTTTTAATTAGTAATAATTAGCTCTTTCAGTTTACACAGTCACAGTAATGCTGGTGTGAATTAACAATAGAATATTAGCCAACACATTCTCAGTGTTTCTGGGATCATGCTTAATAATATTGAGCTCTTTTCCTACACAAGGAATTGAGTCTATATCTTTGAAATAAAGTTTAAATCTTGGAACATAATTTATTTTTTCTTGCTTCATATTTTGAAAGTTATTGCAAATTATGCAACGTGAGTATTGCAGTACATATATGTGCTTTCTTACCTTCCCATGGTGATAGATTGTTCTTTGGATGTGTACCATATGAAGAATATTATTGCCTGTTTTCATCTTCTAGCACAGCTTTCTGTGTTGGCCAAGTACTCTGCTGTTGGCTGATTTGTACTGTACTTTGGAAAAACTGATTCTAAGTGGTGGTGGTTGTTATACACTATCAAGTCACTTTCAAGGTAGAGTGATGGTATGAATTAATGGCCTTCAAAAAGTCCTGTCATTTAACAGTCCAAGTCAAGTCTTGCAGACTAAAAGTCATGATTTCTTTTATTGAGTCAATCTATTTTATATTCTAGGCATTTAACTTGTATTTTATAATTTTAAAAGTAAAATGAAATAACATCATAGAGTGTAACAAATGTATTCAGTCTGTTCTTAGTAAGAATTCCTGCTCTCTCGCTCTCTCTCTCTTGCTCTCTTTCTCTTTTAAACTAAATTCCTGTTAAATGGAATCCTTGTTAAAGGAATGCAGTTTCTTGTAGTTTAATTAGACTCAGAGAAGGGATAAAATGGATTTTTTTTTGTCCAAAATAGTCTCCAGCACTTACTAGCATATCTGAACTAGTTATTTTCATATGCCAGGTTCCTATTCAGTACAGTTGGTAGTTAAGGGAGCAATTGTTTGATATTTTTTCTTAATCAATGCAAAACCCCAGGAATTCAGTACTAACACTTGAAACTGTAAAAGCAGAAGTAGTTAAATAAATAAATAAACTTTGCTTTTTCTGGATTCTTGAATGACTTAGTGTTAAGAACTGTGGAAATTTTGGCTTTTCTTTAATGAAGAGACCAGTGTCAGGTTTCAAATAATGTGCCGTGAAGGCCTTTAGCTGTGACAAATAAAATTAGGCTGATTCTTTCTGTGATGATATATTGGAAACTTCTTTTCTTTATGAAAGGGACTTTCAAGCTTTTGGACAGCATCAAACTTACGAAATTTTTAACCCACATTGCATTGGTGGTGGTGAGGAGTATTTTTTTTGTACAAATATTTTTCTGTGTGCTGTCATTGTTCTTCATCTGATTGGATCTAGTATCAATTATTTGTGCCTTGATTACATCACATGTAGACTATTGTAAGAGGGGCTACTCTTGGAAACTATTCTGAAGCTTTAGTTGATGCAAAATTCAGCAACTAATCTAGTAAAATGGAACATGTGATTGCATCACTACACTATTGAAAGCCCTTAATTGGTTGCCAGTTGTTTTCTGGGCTCCATTCAAAGTGTGAGTTTCAAACTTCTTAACTCTCAATAGTGTAGGATCTGGCTTTTCTGCATAACTACCTTGCTATGAACCTGCTTATCTTTAAGAGAGCCAGGAGAGGCCGTTTTGAAGATACCTCTGTTTGCAGGCTTGCTTCTTGAACATTCTCTTATATCACACTCAGACTTTGGAATAATCTGGCTAGAATCCTGTTGCTAGTTGTATAAGGTTTCTATAACTTGCCATGGCTAATTGCAGCTACCTAATGAGTTTCCAGGGTACCTATTGGTTTTATAGTTGGGTGTGTGACCAGGCATGCAAGCAAGATATACCCTGGCATCTTTTTGGTTAGCCACAATTAGCCACTGAAGTTACACATACCTTACTTATGCTAACACCTGTAGGAGTCTAGCTACTTTCTCTAGACATGCAGTTGGTCCCTCTCTGTGCTGAGGAAGGGAATTTGAAGACATTATTTGAACTTGACCTTTTGAATTGTTTTGCTAATTTTTGATTGTTCCGAATATTCTAATTGTATTGATATGTTTTGTGTAACATCTTCATGGATTCCAGAAAACCGGTGAGGGAAATGTTACTTAAATTAAATACCAAGATCCCTGGCAGTAGCCCAAAACCATTTAACCAAGGAGAAATCCAGAAGTGCACTCTTATGAAAAAATAAACATTGTCCCCAAAGTGAATAGCTTTTCTCTTTTGCCACTTGGCTACTTATAAAGAACCATTCTAGCTTCCTAGTAATGCCATCTATGTAGAATTTTCTTGGAATAGACATTGCCTCATACACTTTGTTCCCAGAAGCAGGAGGTACAGTGTCACCTGTCTAGTAGCACAAGATATGAAAGCACACTAAATACCAAAAGAAGTGAGATAAAACTTGTACGTGGATGGAAAGAAACGGTAGCTGAGCAATGCTTCAAACACAGATTCATTTAAAAACATTTCTACATTTTGGAATGCATAGAAAAATGCTTCATAATTATATACACAAATCATTCACAGACAGAATCTGACAGGTCTTTCCAAAGAAATGTGTATAATATGATTTTCCCTCTTTTTAAGTCCATTAATAAGTATTGACCCTAATAAGTATTGACACTATCCAGAAGGGTAGGTAGCATAATTATTTTTCAAAATCTCAAATAAGCTACAGTAGTGACTATAACTATGGTAATACAGTGGACCCTTGACTTACAGATGGCTTGACTTACAGACTTTTTGAGTTACAGACTTCTCTGGCCGCAAAATTTAGGTTTGACTTGCAGACTGAGAATTGACTTACAGACCAGAAAAAAACCAAAATGGAACAAAAACGGCTGGTTACGGGATTAATCGGTTTTCAATGCACTGTAGGTCAATGGAGACTTGACGTACAGACTTTTTGACTTGAGAACCGCCTTCCAATATGGATTAAGTTCTCAAATCAAGACCCCACTGTATTATTGTCAAAAGTATGAATAGAACTTAATCTGGTTAGAAATTACTTTGTATCAGTGGGAGACTGGCAATTTTCATCCATTAATGCCTTGAGTTGCTTGTCCAAAAAAGGTGTTTTTGTTTAATTCTTGTGTGAGCCCCTCTTCTGCTAGGGTAAGATATTTGGCGAAAAAGTAGCCAAGACAGGAGCAACAGACTTTTCACATAGAGAGAGATAAGTACCTCCTGGGTTTATACAGTTAGTCTGAATTTGTGCTGACCAGAACTCACGAGGCAGAAATTTACCCTGTTTTTAAAGAATTACAAAGTTTTCTCAAACCTATTTGTTTGTGTCATGGAGAGTATTCAGGTGACAGGTTAGCATTTGTATGTTATCCTGACAGTATCTAAAATCAAACAGAAGTCTAGACATGATGTATCTTATGTTAAAATGACTTTGTTCACCCTTATGTTAGTTTTCTTAGATTTCTTTTACTTTGCCTCCAGCAACCATCAGAAGAGGATCTCATTGCTTGCCTATCTGGCCCTCCTGGACCAGGCACATCTGCCCTCAACAGCCTGGTAGTCTCTTGTGCATCTGCTGTTGGTGTAAGAGTAGCTGCTACTTATGAAGCTGGGGCTTTGTCTCTGAAGAAGGTGATGAACTTCTATGGCACGGCTCCCAGTGACACAGTATCCTCATCCAGTGGTGGATCTCCAGGCCAGGACGGCTTGAAGGACAGCCGAGAGGAGCAGGTCAGATTGGAGTCTATGCAAGGGAAAAAGAGTTCAAGCTTGGTAGATATTCGAGAGGAGGAATCTGAAGGTGTCTCTCGGAGACTTTCCTTACCTGGTTTGCTGTCCCAAGGTGAGATGCTCCAGTGTTATAGTTCCAGTGTTACATATTCTAGGGATTTTCATTCTTTTCCCAAGAAATGTGGTTTTTCACATGTGAAGAGGTGTTGGTTTGCTTCCTTCCACTAATTATCCATCAAGTGCACATTTATCTTCATACATCATAAAAATGTCACAAATGTGAAAAGGGATGTACACTTGAGAACTGAGTATATTGCGTGCATCATAGCATCTTCCCAAGCAGATCCCTTACAGCTAGGTTGTTTAGCTTTGTAGATGCTCTTCTTACTTTGGGTTCTGGCTCATCTCTGATAAAAATCATCTTTTCTGCAGGAAAACTTTTTAGTTTTGTTACTGAGAGATAGCGTTTCTTCTGGTTGCCATTTTTTCAGCTGCATTTATGACAAAGTGTGGCAAGAAAAATAATAAATGCCATCTTCTCTGTGTGCCTGTGCAGATTTTCATTTGGTAAAGCTGCTCTTGTATATTTTTCGTTTTGACACCTTGTACAGCAGAAAGAAAGGCAAAGACATGGTGACATTGCCCTCTGAGGAAAGGAACTTTGGGGCCAGTTTTTAAAAATATTTGTGCAGGGAGAGGATCCTGAGGGATTAGGGGTATGGGGAGCCCCACCTGGCTGCTGCAGGGGATCAGAAGAGCAGTTCAGCCCAGAATAGGAAGGGGTCTCAGAAGCTAGAATCCTAGCAAATGGGCCCTAAGTTAAAAAATGCTGAACAACTTGGGACACGAACATTCTGGATGATTGGATAGCAAATTAGATATGGTAACTTTGACAAAAACAATATCCTTCAAAACAGGAAAAGAAAGTTCAATATTAATTGATGCTTAGTAAGAAATTGTGCCTGTGCAGATTTTCATTTGGTAAAGCAGTTCAAGACTCTTTTTTAAAAATCCTGAAGAGTTTGAGATACTGCATGGAGATTGAAGGGGTAGATGGTTCACACACACTCTTTCTCTTCAGGAATTCTAGCAGTGATTCCCTGTTTGCCACAGAGAAGCAGGAAACCTTTTCTCCTCCTCTCCCTGATTTCTGGCAATAGCACAGCTTATTCCTTTGAATAGGTGGTACTCCTCTCCTAAATTAGGAATGGGGAATTTATTGAGGACTAAGGGTTGCGCATGGCCTGGATCTTGGTGGGCTGCACCTTCTCTGGCAAGTCACAAAATATTTTTCTTTTTAAAAAAATAACTGAGGAAGCCCTATTGAACATGTAGTGGCCACAGGGAGCAATTTTGTCATTCTTGTGCTAATCCTAATGTTTCTTGCTCTTGTATATTTCTCGTTTTGACACCTTGTACAGCAGAAAGGCAAAGGCATGGTGACATTCCCCTCTGAGGAAAGGAACCTTGGGGCCAGTTTTTAAAAATATTTGAGCAGGGGGAGGATCCTGAGGGATTAGGGGTATGGAGAGCAGTTCAGCAGAGCAGTTCAGCCCAGAATAGGAAGGGCTCTCGGAAGCTAGAATCCTAGCAGATGGTCCCTAAGTTTAAAAATGCTGAAAAACTTGGGACACAAACATTCGGGATGATTGGATAGCAAATTAGAGATGGTAACTTTGACAAAAACCATATCCTTCAAAACAGCAAAAGAAAGTTCAGTTTTAATTGATGCTTAGTAAGAAATGCTCTCATAAACTATGGGATATTGTAGGTTTTTCGGGCTGTCTGGCAATGTTCTGGAGGTTTTTCTTCCTAACATTTTGCCAGTCTCTGTAGCTGGCATTTTCAGAGGACAGGAGTCAGAACTCTGAGCGCTGGTGCATTTTGTGGAATAGTTGAGTATTTATAGCTGTGGGATCAGCTTTTTGTCTGGCGAAATGTTAGAAAGAAAAACCTCAAGAACACAGCCAGACAGCCCAAAAAACCTACAACAACCATCGAATCCTGGCCGTGAAAGCCTTCAAGAATACATATGTTTTATGGTGTACTGGCTGGAATGTAGTAGTGTAAATTTACTCTGCAGAAAGTTGATACTATCATTAGCCAGGACATTTTATTGCTAATTCAATTTCTGATCCCTGACCCCACTTCTAAAGCTCTCTAGAGATCCCTTTTGCCCTACAAAATCTTTTGGGAGGGCCTTGAGAGGAGAGCAGGGAAATCTTTAATAGCTGAATATCACTGCCACCAGACTTCCAACTCCATCCTGAGCCCCCCCCCCAAAGGCTTCCTCAGGTTGAAAGGGATCTCTAGGGAGTATCAGATTCTTGGCTGGGGAATCAGAAATTTTAAATTAGCAACAAAAGTCCATGGCTGATGATGTCATCAGCTTGGCATGGCATATGTAGTTGCACAACAAGACTTTGGCCATTGTTACCTTAATTCTTAGGCAAGGAACCAAGGAAGGTCATGATTTAAATCAACAAATCAGATTTTTTTATGATTTAAATTTTAAAAATCTATTTTAAATGTAAATCATAATTCCAATCAATTTAATTTTTAAAAAATCATTGCTTTTTTATCCACCCAGCAAACAGCTGAAATCACCATCTGTTTTCATATGATCCAGAAGGATGAGATTTTGACCTTCTAGATGTTGCACTATAGTTCCCATAAGTCCAGTCACCATGGCTGGGGAGTACTGTATGTGTATTATATAGTACAACAGCATCATGAAGACACTTGGCACTGATCCCCCCCCATAAAGTCGGTCTTCATGATAGATGCTAACGTTCTGATGTGGCCCAAACAGTTGTGCATCTTCCTTCTGTGTTTTGGCCACAGGGAGAATTTATAGGCTATATGTTTTAATTCTGTCCTTTAAGGATTTGTTCTTGTTTCCCATTTTCAAGTTTCTCCGAGGCTGTTGAGGAAAGTAGGGAGAGCCAAAATGAGGACGGTGGCGCTCACTCCAACTTACAGTGGCGAAGCTGATGCGCTTTTGCCATCTCTGCGAACGGAGGTGTGGAGCTGGGGGAAAGGAAAAGAAGGACAGCTGGGACATGGGGATGTTTTGCCAAGGTAAGAGTTTGCTGAGGAAAAGTCTCTTGTGCCTGTAGGCCAGACCTGGGCAAAGTGCGGCCCTCCAGATGTTCCTGAACTGCAAATCCCAATATTCCTCACTGTGTGGGCTAGGCCCAACTCTCCTCACCCTATTGGCTGTGTGGGCTAGGAATTATGGGAGTTGCAGTTCAGCAACATCTGGAGGGCCGCATTTTGCCCACCCCTGCAGTGTAGGCACTAGCAAGGGTGGTGGTGGCCAGTTCATTTGTAGCATTTCACTATGTTTTTAATGCTTCAGTATATGAATGCCATCTTTTATAAGACAAAGCAAGCTGTGGATCAAGATTGTTACCTTGCTTTCTCACCTGTATCAATAATAATATTTTATGCAGCTTAAATCAGCCTAAAGAATATTTATTCCTGTGAAGCATTGTGCATTGTGTTGGCTTTTTAGTGTCTGCACTGATCACCCTTATTTTATCTGATGGATTCACAGGCTCCAACCACTCTGTGTGAAAAGTCTTGATGGAAAGGAAGTAATTCATTTGTCTGCTGGTGGCCGTCATTCTTTGGCGCTCACTGCCAAATCACAGGTACGAGGATAATGTGCATTTTGATTCAATTCCAGGACTTAATTTCATTCACTTGTTTTGTTTTCTGGCTCAGACTTGGTGACATCCAGATCTCATTTCATGCAGTTGAAAGGAAACTTGTGCAAGTCAATTTGAATTAATATATTTATTCAGTCTGAGACTTAAAACATACATGTCTGTATGGAGACTTTTACTGAAATGTAGCAGGAAGAGGATATAAGCTTCTCCTAAAGTGGAGATAAGTACCTAGAGCAGTGGTCCCCAATCTTTTTAACCCCACGGACTGGTTGGGGAAGGCGGAGCACCCCCTGTGCTCGTGCACATGCACGAAGGAGTGGGAGGGTGCTTGTGTGGGTGCACATGCGCTCATGCGCATACATGAAGGGTGGTGTGGCACTCGGGGTACTCATGCGCATGTGTGAAGGGGGGGAGTGCTTGCACGGGTGCACGTGCTCGCACATAGGGGCTGTGCGTGGGGGAGTGAATGCATGGGTGGGTGGGGAGGTCTGTCTCCATGGCCTGATCCAGCTCAGGCCATGGACCGGCACCGGGCCACAGACCGGGGATTGGAGACCTCTGACCTAGAGGATTGTGGGCAGAATCTATTCTGACTGACCTTCTCCTGAAGGCTCCTCCCCTCTCTGCTGTTGATGGGGTCCCCATGGATTTAATTGATCTCCCATTGATGAATGAGTGCAAACGCAAAGCAGGAAAGGAGAAGCTAGGAAAGAATGGTGGCTAAAGGAGGGCCAAATGTTTTGGACATCAACTCCCAGAGGTCCCTGCCAATAAAGACAGTCATAAGGCAGTTTGGGAGTTGTAGTCTAGAATTTCTGAAGCAATTGAAATTCTTTGCCTTTGGACTAAATGACGGTTGGAAGATGTTTGTAGGGAGTGTGGGAATAATAAAGGAGAGGCGAAAAATGAACATAGGATGTTTAAACGCCTACAGAAATATAGGATGGGTGAGGAGTAACGTGGTGAAAGAGGTGCAAGATACCTGTGGGAGGAGTAGAGATCTCTTACCCCAATCTGTTTTAAATAACTGGACTTTAAGCAGCCCCCAATTCCTCCATTCTAGTACATCATGAGGAATCGAGATCTATCTTGAAGCAAATACATTCAAATGCATCCTCATGTTTGAGGAGATTAAATGCGGGAGGGGAGGCCATAGTTCACTGCGGGACAAGAGATGGAAATAGGCCAGACTGACAGATGTTATGATGTTAAAAAGCAGAGGCTTCCAAAATTCAGTCCTGCCAGTGTGAAAACACTGGCTGTAGTTATTTGGCAGTGAGGCATGGGTACACTGCACATGGCTTCCGTGGGTGCAGTTGGATCCATAAATGGACAGGCCTCTGAACAGAGGGATACTAAATTGTGCCACTGCTGATGCTTCAGAAGCTCACCATCCCCCCTGCCCAAAGATTAACATACTGTAATCCCTTCCCCTTCTTCCTGGAAAATATCTGAATGGACTTGTATTCATTCATATTACTGTATGTTATGCAGTATATCTATCTTGCTTTGACCTGTATACCATAATAACGTGGCTCTTCATCCTCCTCCCTCCTTTTCTCCTAATATTTCTTACAGGTATACTCGTGGGGCAGTAATACTTTTGGACAGCTTAGTCACTCAAGTTCTCCGACCACAGTCCCTCGTCTTGCAAAGGTACATTTTTAAGAGTTGGATTCTTTCTCCTAGAATAAAAATCTTTTGCTTAAAATTTAGGCTTGCATCTCTGTAGCTGACAGATGTTAAAGTAACACTGCTTCCTCTTTGGAGGAAAAGGAAGTGTTGCCAGTGATCAACAAATGTAGTCTAGCTTGGATAACAAACCAACCCCATTGGTCTCTGGGACCTGTACTTCTTCCTTTGGGTGCAGTCTTGCTCCTGACCTCTTACTGCATCTCCAAAACATGCAGTGCAAAACCATGAACAGTCTCTGACTTCCCTCTGCATTGCCACGTGTCAGTATGAGGAAGAGGAAGAGGGGGGTCGATCTTAGCCCTTCTGTCCAGCTTGCAGTTGAAAATGGGGGCCCTTCCCTGTAGTTATCATGCAGTTTGGAGGAACTGACTAGCCCTTTGTTGTTGTTGGGATGAGGTTGGCCCTCCCTCTCTAGATCTGATGAAGAAGCTTGAGCTTGTTATTTCCTTCCTTGCAACCGAGGAGTGGGTAGGTTTCTGAGGACCTCAAGAGAAGTGCCAGACAGCGGGGTAGTCTCTAGACTCTTCTGCTCCAGGGCTGGGAAGAAAACACCCAAAGGCAGGGGCCTGCTTACCAAAGCAAGTGAAAAGCCCAGAATCTGGATCTAGCCACGTAAATCTGAAACCTGCAATCATGCAGAAAGGCTAGAGCTTAAGCAAGTGAACTACGAGCAGAATCAGAATCTTTCCAGATTTTGTCAGCATTGTTTTGACAAAGGAAAATAACATCACTGTGCTGTATAGGTAAAGTTAAGAGAATATAACACCAGTCACTCACATTGTCTGAGACATGTCCCTGTCCCTTTAAACTGCTGCACAAATCTCACAGGTGAAATATTTCAGTCCTTGCACTATTGTGTTGCAGTAAAACACTATAACATGTACTTTGTTGTCAAGAAGGATTTAATTTTATCCTTATAAATAGTATCTACACTTGTGGTGTTGTATTCCAGGTATGCAGTGACCACAGCATCTGGAATATAGCAGCAGGTCCTGATTATTCACTATTCCTGGTAGACAGGGAAGATTTTCAGCCTGCATTATATTACAGTGGTCAGGAGGAAAAGGGAGAGGGTGATGTTTCATCTGAAGGTAGTGGACTCAAGAATCCAGTACTGCTGCAAAACTGTAGCAAGGTATGTATAACTGATGTGTGTGTGTGTGTGTCTATGGAAAACCTTGCTGGTGGGGGCTTTCTGGTCGGGACACCATAGGAGTGGTTGAAAAGGTGTGAAATTTCTTTTCTTACCCCCAGTAGCCCATTTTAAACTGAATCCATATCCTACCAAAATTCAGGCATCACCTGGGTGACAGGCCTCCTTTATCTTAGCTACTCTATTTTCTTTCCTGCTTAAATTTCCCAAGAGGCTCAAGGCACTACAGGAAGTGCAGGTAGCTGCAATCCATATTTCTTGAAATGTGTTAGAATCATCAGAGATGTTCTTGCATAAAAGAAAATACAATATACCCATCAAGTACTTAAGATAAACGCTGAAGTTGCATGACAAGAGCATAATAAATAACTTTTGAAAATGGAACAGTGCACGTTATAGTGGTCTAATCTTGAGATTACGAGCGCATGTACCAAGGTAGTGAGCACCCCCGTGTCAACGTAGGGTCGCAGCCAGGCAATCCGCCAGAGATGGAAAAAGGCGGTACGGACTACCGACACTACCTGGGTTTCCATGGTGAGCTTTTAGTCCAGGTGTACCCCCAAGCTGCGAACCCCACTCTTAGCAGCCAGGGTCACCCCCCTAAATGTGAGAGAACCACCCAGGCCACCGACCTCAGGGGCGCCCACCCTCAGAAATTCTGTCTTGTCCGGGTTCAACCTCAGCCCGTTTTCCTGCATCCACCGCAGTACAGCCCCCAGGCAGTGCTGGAGGGACAGGACAGCATCACCTGCAGTTGGTGAAAAGGAGATGTAGAGCTGGGTGTCATCAGCATATTGATGACACGAGGTTCCATACCCCCTGATGACCCCACCCAGCGGCCTCATATACTGTAGATGTTAAACAGCATTGGGGAGATAATCGACCCCTGTGGGACCCCACAATTGAGATTCCACGGGGCCGAGACATTCTCCCCAAGCTGCACTCTCTGGGGTCGGTCCTCCAAGAAGGCACGGAGCCAGGCTAACGCCAAGCCCCCAATTCCCAACTCAGAGAGCCTCCCCATGAGGATACCGTAGTCGACGGTATCAAAGGCCGCCGAGATGTCGAGGAGAACCAACAGAGACGTTTTGCCCCTGTCAGCCTCCCTTAGCAGGTCATCGTACAGGGCGACCAATGCTGTCTCTGTACTGTGGCGTGGCCTGAAGCCCGACTGAAATGAATCCAGGGCATCTGTTTCATCCAAGTGTGCCTGAAGCTGGTTAGCCACCACCCTCTTGACCACTTTGCTCATGAAAGAAACATTGGTGATGGGCCTATAATTGCCAATCTCGTCCGCCGCCATATTAAGTTTCTTTCTAATGGGCCTAATGAGTGTCTCCTTGACAAGGAAAGACCCATTTATTATTGCTGTGGCCCATTTTGTTGTTTGCGGCCTGCCTGCTTTGATTAGCCAGGCCGGGCAAGGGTCAAGAGAGGAGGTGGTGGCTCGACAGCGATCAAGCACCTTGTCTACAGAATCAGGCGTCACAGGCTGAAAGGAATCAAGAGTTACCGGGCAAGACGGAGTGTTGGACATCTGAGCTCGACTCACTGTATTCAAAAAAGGAGAGTCAGGAGTGCTTTCAGATACTGTTATAAGGAAAACCTAATTTCTTATTTCTTTTGTGATCTTTGTGACTCACACAATGGGTCTCACAACCACGCAGATCCTAACCCTAAGTCTTGTCTCAGTGGATTTTAAAAACAGTTTGTCTTTCTTCCAGCTAGGGTATATTAGCAACGTGACAGCAGGTGGCAGTAACTGTTTGGCTTTGGTGGACAAAAACATTATGGGATACATTGCTAGCTTGCATGAGTTGGCTTCAACAGAGAGACAGTTTTACTCCAAACTAAGTGCTATAAAGTCTCAAGTTCTCCGACCCCTCTTGGGATTAGGTAAGAAATTGTATTTCGCAGCTTTATTTTCTGCCTCTGACTGAGTGTGAAGATTTAAGCACCACTGCCTTTTATTTGCATTCCTTTGAAAGAGAGTGCCGTTGTCAATCTTGCTGTCTGCTTTACTGTGGTACCCAGACCTCTCTAATCAGGGATCCTGCCCCCACCAGCCGTGCATTGTGTTTGCCGAGCTACCTTTGTGCTCACTCGGCGCAGTGCTGCATCTCCCGCTGTTCCCAGATAGAATGCTACTCCTTTAATACTTAATACATCACTGCTCTCTTACCAGCTGAGCCTTGGGGCTTCGCTGGCAGCCGTGGACTCTATATTTTACATAGCTGCAGTATCTTTGAATTCACTCCTACACTCCACAGCAGGCTTCCAACCCTCAGGCAAGACTTCTGCTGCCTTCTTCATGGCCACCCAGTCCTTGCAAATTCTCCCTTAAGCTTCTCACACCTGCTGATCTCCTGCTGCTCGTCCAGACCCCCCCCTCCCTTCTCTAGCACAACTGTTTCTCTCCTAACCTGTGTGTGGAGGGTAACTATCTCATGCTCTTAGCGTTAAGTGCCCTGGCTTTATGCTTTTGTCCTGATAAGCAAGTTTCCTTCAGCAAGAACAACATAAATTGGTCACTGGTTAACAGTGTTCTTTATGAGCTTGTGTAAAATTAATGCCCTGATAACCTTGGTTTATTTCTGTTTCTGATTTATGAGCCAGTAATGATTTCACCTCCAAGTATCCTTGTACACATATGTATGGCTTGCTTTGTTCTTTTGCAGATAATTTAGGTGCTGCTTCAACCATCAAGCTCTTGCAAGAAATGGCAAGTACGTTCAGCAAGCTGTGCTACCTAATAGGTCAGCATGGCGCCTCTTTGACTGCCTTTCTGAAAGGGTTAAAAGAGGCAAAGAACTTGGCCGTCCTGAAGCATTCAAGTCTCTTTTTGGAAAGTTACACTGAGCAAGTATCGAAATTTATCATTCTCGTTTTCTGGAGATTTTATGGTTCTGTGCAGAAGAGGGTGGGAAATGGGTATAGTATGGATATAGGTAAAGAAAACCCCAAGTGCATAGAGTTTTTCAAAGGATCGTGCTTAATGGACTCAATCCAATTGCTACAGCTTGAACAGGCCAGTTGAATTAGTTGGTGAGTGCCAGCTCTTCATTTGCGTAAATAGTGCAATAGGTTTTCTTTATTTGGGACCAGCTGTTGGACTTAGTTCACTGTGTTCCGTGTTAAGCACTTGGACCCTAAGGCTGCCCTCAGTCTTTGTCAAAATCCTAAAGCAGACTGCTTGAGCTATAGTGCTTCAGACAATAGGCAGAGAATGAAGCCACCCTTCAGCACAGAAACCTCATGACGACATTCATGGCTGAGTTATTATGAAAAACAGAAGAACTGGGTATTTTAAATTCACCAACATAAATTACCTGCTTCTGTGGATTAAATGGAATATTAAAGCTGCTAGTCATTAATCTTTTAACGAGGCAGTCCAGCAAGCATTCATCCTGTGAAATTTCTGCTCATTTCAGTGCAGCAAATAAGTGAAGGTGTGCAAGCCAAGGCATAAATTGACATTGTGCCCAGAAAAGGTGCTTGGAAGATTGCATTCTTTGTAACATTTCCGTTGTTCAAAAATGGGGGGTGGGCACAGTATATTTTCATCTTACCTTTTTGAGGTAGGATTCGACATTGCCCAGCTTCACTTCTTCAATTATTTGAGATGCCTTGGCTCCCATGGGAGGCTCTGCATGCTGTGTTTTCCATCTACGGGCTTCTCACAAATGTTGTGGGGGGGGGGAACTAGCATCCAGAAGAGCCACAATTTGGGCACAGGGTGTTAGTCAGCAAACTGGGAAAGAGCTATGTTGCAAAGATAATGTGGGCAGGGTCTGGGCAGTATTGGTTAAGGTTGATTTGGGCCAGAAGAGGTTCTTTTTGCCCCCCAGTCCTTGGCCACTCCCATCCAGCAAATTCATTATGTTGTTGTTGTTTTTAAATGCCAAGTATTCTCATTTTTCTTCAACTTCTCTGGTTTAGGTATTGCACTTCCTTGACCAATTTTCTGGTAATGGGAGGATTTTCACTTCTTGCCAAACCAGCAATGTAAGTTGTCCTGAGGTTGAGTCCATCCATCTGTGTTTGGGGTGATATTTGCTGGCAAAAGCAAAAAGGAAAGTGCAGTGCTCATATACATCACCCCACAGTGCTTAAAACACCCTTTGGGCAGTTTACAATTTAATTATACAGGCTACATGTTGCCCCCCTCTCACGAGCTGGGTACTCAGTTTTACCAACCTCAGAAGGATGGAAGGCTGAGTCGACCTCAAGCCAGTTGCCAGAATCGACCACTGACCATGAGCAGAGTTTGGACTCTGTATTTTAACCCCTGCGCCATGAGGTTCTTTGTGGGGCCACTTTCATGGTGTCTGGGAGTTCTGCTAGGATGTGTTTTAATTCTGCATAGCATCTATCTTGGTGGGGGGAAAACACTGTTTTCTTTGAGACTTGTTGGCCTGATGGGGATGGTCTCTGGTTTCCTTGCTTGCTGAGATTACTGTAAGGGTTACAGAGCGCTTCTTGCCTACCAGGGATGTTGGCAAATCTTCGAGTCTGCATCTTTGGGTTCAAATCCCAACTCAGAGTATCAAGCTGTTTATGTCTACCCCCCCCCGGGGTGGGGCAAACGACTCAGGACCTGGACTCAAGGCTTGGGACTCAGCCCTCAGACCAAAAGACTCTGACTGCACATGCGCTGCCCAGCTGGTGGGACGGTGCATGAATAGAGGCAGCAGGCAGAGGCAGTGGCTCAACTACCCTTCACAGAGCTGGCCCCTACCTCTGCGCATGTGCCGGCCTATCAGCTGGACGATGGCTGCATGGGCAGAGGCAGAAGCGTTGCCTCTGAGAATGATGGTGGCAGGAGCAGGTAGGGAAGCCCGTCCCAGATAGGGACTCAAAACATGATTCAGAAAAATGAGTCCAAGTTACAAGTCAAGCCCAAGTCTCTTTTTAAAAGACTTAATTCAAGTCTGAGTCAAGTCACCAATGGAACTTAAGTTGGACTTGACAGCGAGTCACAACTTGTGAGTCCCTATCCCTCTTGCCTACTTCTGTGTTGTTTCGTGCTGTTTCTGGTAACAGTGAGGGGCTGCTTTACTCTTGTGTATTTTTTCCTCATAAGCCTGTGCTCCTGGGGGAAAAGATGGAACAAGAGATGCCCTCTAGTAAATAATTGTCCATATACCAGCATGTTCTGGTTAAGGTTATTGGTCTTCCCATTGGATTGGGGCAAGCACATATGCTCACTCACACAACAGAAGCAAGCAGACCTGGCTGCATGCTCTGCATTCCACGATATATTCCTAGCCAATCCTTACTTCTCGCTCTCTCTCCCCCCACCGCCCCCAATTCCGGCTTGTGTGGTGATGCCTCCCATCATTCCTCTGGCTAACTGTTGCACTAGTTAGCCTCTGTTTAACTACTTTAAAGGTCTGGAGTCTGATGCAGAGCAAAATTACAGTAGCCAGAGGCAGTACCCTAGGTGCCCTATGTGTCCCCACTCTCTGAAGCAACTGCCTGCCCAACAAAGATGTACATGGGCAGCTGAAAGAAAAAGCCAAAATGCAGACTGAGAGTAGAGGCAGAGGGAGGGTGCCACCGTTAGTGCTCCTGAGCATCTGCAGCTTGCCTGCGTCCAAAGGCTGTGGTTTGTTGGCAGCTAGAGGGAGCATTTGCAGGATAGGGGTGGTGGATGTCTGAAAATATGCAGGGTGTCCCTTGAAAATATGCAGGCAGTCCCTGTGACAATGGGGGGGATAGCTTCCTTTAACCCTAAATTGTTTTGCTCATTTTGGCAATCCAGTCAGAAGCACTGAACCCCTCGCCATAACAGTTTCCCTGTTCTCAAGTCTCTCATTGACTTTCTCTCTCTCTCTCTTTGCATTTCTTCTGCTTTACTGATTCCATAGGCTACAATTGCCTAAGCCAGCTGAGCCAGGAGGCAAGGGCGGGGGTTGAATTTGTTGTGCCTCAGGGACACTCATCACAGAGGGTGCAGCAGTCATTAGGTCTGTAGAACTGTTGCAAGTGTAGAATGGAAAGAGATTTTAAAAGACACCCACTAAAATTGGTAGCAGCATATGTCCTTCTCTAACTGGGAGGAGGTCACTAGTGGGGCACCCCAGGGCTCAGTCCTGGGCCCGGTGCTCTTCAATATTTTTATTAATGATGTGGATGAGGGAGTGCAGGGAATGCTTAACAAATTTGCAAATGATACCAAATTGGGTGGAATAGCTAATACCCTAGAAGGCAGAAACAAAATTCAAAATGACCTTGATAGGATGGAGCACTGGGCTGAAAGCAACAGAATGAAATTTAACAAGTACTGCACCTCAGGAAAAAGAAACCAATTGCACAGTTTACAAGATGGGGGATACCTCGCTCAGCAAAACTATGAGCAAGAAGGATCTTGGGATTGTTGTAGATCACAAGCTCAATATGAGCCAACAGTGAGAGGTAGCTACAAAAAAGGCCAATGCTATTTTAGGCTGCATTAATACACATATAGTTTCCTAATCCTGCCAGGTGCTAGTCCCCCTTTATTCAGCAATGGTTAGGCCTCACTTTGAGTACTGTGTCCAGTTCTGGACACAACACTTCAAGAAGGATGCTAACAAACTGAAACAAATTCAGAGGAGGGCAACAAGGATGATCAAGAGGCTGGAAACTAAATTTTATGAGGAAAGGCTGAAAGAATTAGGCATGTTTAGCCTTGAGAAAAGAAGACTGAGCACTTTTCAAATATTTGAAAGGCTGCCATACAGAGGAGGGACCAGATCTGTTCTCGATCAGCCCAGAGTGCAGGACATGCAACAATGGGCTCAAGTTAAAGGAAGCCAGATTTCGGTTGAATATCAGGAAAAACCTCCTAACTGTTAGAACAGTACAACAGTGGAACCAGTTACGTCAGGAATTCAAGAAAAACTTGGATAATCACCTGGCCAGTATGCTTTGATGATATTCCTGCACTGAGCAAGGGGTTGGACTTGACTTTTCTATGATTCTATTCCTTCCATTTCCACATGGTTTTCTAGTATCTGGGGTATAGGCTGAAATCTTTTTGCTAGAAAGATGCACTAGAATAGGCACGTTGAATCCATGGGGATTTAGTGAATCAGTTCCTCTATGAGTGGCATTGATTCAAATGGGCCTCTAGCTGTGACTTTAGTGTAGTAAATCATAACTAGAGTAGGCCCATTTGAATCAATGGAAATTGTGGATAAATTGACTCACCAAATCCCCATTGAATCAATGGATCTACTTCAGTGAAATTTTCAGTCTAAAGAACAGGATTTCAGCCACCGTGTCTTTCTAGTTTCAATTTTGCCATTCCTAGTACTGTTGTTTCTCTTTTTCAGTGTCCCAGAAATCAGGGTTATGACAAAGGAATGCGAAATTTCATTGGAATGTAATGGTGAACTATTCAAGTTCTGCTATTTGTGTAGTCACATACACAAAAAAAGAATTTTGCCTTTTAAAATTAGTGCACTGAGAGAGGAACACAGATTTAACTGGTATTGTCAGGTTTAGCCTAAATTCTGCCACAAATAATGGAATTACAGCAAACATCAGTGGCACGTGAATACTAATCTCAAGTATGGTATGTAGTAATAAGGACCTTACCTGGTGACCAGCATCTCATTAGGCAACTCTGTTCTTATTATATATGTGGGAAACCACAGAAGTGTTTTCACGACTTGTTCAACAATGCTAGTCAAAGGCCGCAGGAATGTCTCTCTGTGTACAATGGCTGTATGTTCAGAATGAGAGACTGAGGCAATGAGATCCTTTCTTCCAGATATGAATGTCACTGGTTAATTGTATCTTCTCTGACTCTATGCTCTTTTAAGTAATTCATTGTTAAAGGGAAGAAGAAACTCACCAGGATTCATTGTCAGGCAACTTTTGCTATATTTCCTTTGAGATATTAGCTGAGACTTGGTCTTAATGATAGCTCTGATAGTCCTTGATGCTTGTATATTGTGAGTTCCAAGTGTTGATCTCAAAGCATTTAAAGAATGCAAACTATCCAGATGGTTAGTCTGTGTAGTGGCCATGAACTGAAGGGTTCTGATAAAAACAGCACCTTTTTTCTTCCATGTGGTTAAAAAATGAGGAGTTGTGGAACCTGGGAAAGTCTCTGTGTTTGATGCTTCTTTGGCAGCACCTCATTAATCATGTAGAGTGGCCCTGCTGTTTGGTTCCCTAGCTACTCTTTTGTTAAAAAGCTTTGATTTTTCTCCTCTGCCTTGCTTGCTCCTTTCCAGATTTTCACCTTCCTAAATTGTTTCATAGCTGTATGAATATAGGGACAGCGGAGTCTCTAGATGGAGTCCACAGTACAGAGGAAGGCAAGATTAGTAAACTTTTTATCTTCACTATTGTGCTCTAGCATGGTATTTTAAATTCTTTCTTTCTGGTCATCACTCAGAAAACAAAATACTCTCTTTCCATTTCTGGACATATGATAATACGGTTTCCTGTTGAATGCAAAGTCATGTCAGGTTCCTTCAGCAACGCTAAAAAGTAGATGTACTTGGATAAGAGTCAAGCAATGCCTATTGAAACATGTATAGTTAATAAAGAATTTTCCCCCATTTGATTCCTAATAGAGCCATGCTGCTTCTAATAAGAAATTCAAATAGACATAAATTTGTGTCCAGACCAACTTGTGGTTGAGACTCATTGTGGAAAGTTAGTCATCATTAACTTTACTTCCACTGAATTATGTGCGGTCTACGTAGAGTCTAGATCTAATCTCTGATTGAAAAGAAGGTTATGTAGTCATCCATAGCTAGCTTACAGTGGTGGGAGCCCAAAATTTTGAGTTGACCTCCCCACTGTGAGCTATTAGCCATCTGAATAGTCGTCTATAGGCTGACCCAAAGAATGGCTCAAAGAGGCAACATACTTCCACTGCTGAAGACGAATAGGTTCCATTCTACTTGTAAGGTACCAGATGGAAAACCACCTCGGAACCATGCATTAGCTGCTCTGAGCAACTCAGAGAAAAAGTGTGGTATACATGAAACATAATAGTTCCTTAAAATGAATGTTAGTAACATTAAAATCTAAAAAATGACTGCCCAACTATTTCTTTGCCACAATAGAATAAGTGTTTTATACTCAAAATGCTTGCTTCTTTTAAAAGTGTGACTGAAATTCATCATATAGCTATTTGTTTCTAGCATTTTTATTACTAAATGCCAACACCAAAGCATCACAACACATCTGTTTCTCTTTGTAGGGATTTCTTAAGTAAAAACCAGGCATGGCTTCAGGATCTTTCAGAGACAGCCGAGGAAGCTCAGCCATTAGTGGAAGTTCTCAATGCTCTGTTTTTCTTGCCACTCAGGCGACTTCATACTTATGCTAGAGTTTTGTTAAAGCTTGCTACATGTTTTGTTGTGGTAAGTAGATGGATATTGTAGTTTCATTAAGTAAAAATAGTTCAGTGTTTTTAATATACTTTGTGATTAATAAAACATACAATGAAAATACTGTGGCAAGAATCCAGCGAGTGCTGGAGGTTCCACTGACAGAAATGTTTCCATCAATGGGACTGAGTAGAAGAGAAAGATTCCCACCTCTTCCTCCCCCCCCCCCCGTGCGTACCACAAAACTACCTCTGAATTCTCCACAATCACTTGTTAGGTATTGTGAGGGTCTGTAAGGAGAAAGGGGGAAAGTGTGTACACATTAGCAAGTATCCACCAATAGATAGAGACATGCTATTTCCCCTTTATTGTTTCAACTTTTACTGTAGCTGCTGAGTTTGCACGTATGCACACAAACGTACACAAATTATACTGTTCATTAGAATGAGGAAAAATGTAGGTAGAAGTGAATTTTTTCTGAGGAGCACAGGAATTGGCCAGGAAATGCTTTTGGTTCACAACACGTAAGAATTTCAAAAACCTCTGAGGCTTAGGTACTTTGCATATTTGGTTTATAGTCATGGTTCCAAATGCCTGTAGCTATTAACTTCTTCACCTATATTAATTACTTTATGTAGTATGGAATAGCAACCCTAAATTCAATGAAACTTTTACATGAGTCAGTAATCTGGAGATTCTTATGCTCTGTGGCAGAGGTCTCCAAACTTTTCAGCATGAGGGCCACATCATATATTTTCCACTTTTTTTTAGGGTCGAAGGAACATGCACACACGCATATGCATGGACTGAACAGACATGAGCTTGTGATATTTGCCAGGCTGGATAAAAAGGCAAGGCATGCCCTATGGGGCCTGCGGGCTGTAGTTTGGAGACCCTTGCTCTTTGGAATTACACTATATAAAAGTTACAGTTTATTATCAGTCTGTGAGAAAGAGCCATTTAGCTGTGTAGGTTATTTCCTTCTGCCATAGGGTGAAATATATCAGAAGAGGAGCTTTTAACTGTGCAGGTTTATCTCCTCCTCTAGTTCTTCTCCTGTCTTTTCCCAGGTCATTTGCATCTTGCTGTGTTGATAATACATGCTTGTGGTTACAGAAATTATTTGTTCTAACTCTCCAAAGAGTTATTTCTCTCTCCCTCTCTCTCTCTCTCCTTTGTCATTCCTTGGGTTTTAAATACTTTAGTGTCAGTTGCAGTTCTCTGCTGTTTCCCCACTGCTTCATTTTCCCACTGTCTTTCTATTTTTTAATCCCATTTTCCCATTTGTTTACAGTATCCCCTGTCAACAAATCTGACAAGTCTTTTCCAGATTTACTGCAGAGTCAGACAAATCCCAGACACATCTGCTTCTCTTAAGACTGCTTACATGCTCCTTTTTGCCTTCACTGGATGCCAGTGGAGCTGTGGACAACTGCTTCCCTGCTGGCAGTGGTCACTTGAGAGCCCTTAGCTGAGGTTCTGCATAATTAGTGGATTTATAGCTGTACAAAAGAGCATCTAAGATATTGTGCAGCAGTGTCAAGTAATCCAGCACATCAAGGGGAATCTCAATACAGATACAGACTTCATTGGCATGAATATCCTCAGTCCCAGAGAGAGGAATCTAAATCCATTGGTGTTCAAACAAATTCAGCATAGATTCGGCTTATGTTGGTGGACCTGTTTTCATTCAGCAGCTACATGAAATTCTTTACCAGGTTCCAGAAGAGCAGGGTGGGAAGTCAGGATACTTTCCCAATATCCTGGCCACCCAAGTATTCACTATGCCTTTCCTCCAGTTCCTCTGATTACCAGAGTCCTCCGTGAGATCCCATGAGAGCAAGCCATGGCAATTCCAAGAGCTCCTCACTGTGCATTCAGGCTGAGGTTTTCTGAAATCTTCCACCTAGCAATCAAGATTCCACTATTTTTCCAGTTCTGCTATACCTCCTAACACAGGGACCATTTGTCATCCTCATTCAGATTGGTTCTGCTTAGCTCATAAAGATAGATTCCTACTTGAAAGTGGCTTGCTCTGACAAAGTAGTTAATAAGTCGTCTTCAAAATATCCTTCTACTCTCTGCATCTATGTGATGACTTGGGAAGCATTCCTCTTTTGCTATAGGTGGAAATCTGTTTCACATTCTTCTACAGTCGTCTCAGAACTTTTAGAGTTCCTGTTATCATTCTAGATCCACTCTTGGGGTTTGGTCTAGGGACGTCAAGCGAAGAGCCAACACCCTCTCTTTTGTTCTGTCCAAGCAAGGCAAGGCATCTGTTGACACCTATTCCTACTTTAAGCATTTTCATGGAGAGGTAGAGCAACTCTCTAAAAACAATCTAGCCAGGTAGATGAGGGCCTAAGTTTTCTTGGTCTGTGAAGTTTCTCATGTTCTCAAACCTAAAAATGGCATGGCTTATTCCACCAATGTCATAGCTTCTGTGACAGTCTTTTCTGTGGCTGTCTCTATAGCAGGATTTTGTAAAGTGGTGGATTGGTCTAATCCCTCAACCTTTACAGACCATTAAAGACTTGATTCATATGCTTCTGCTGAGGTTGCTTTTGCTGGAGAGTCCTGCAAGTTATACCAGAGGGAAATTTTGAACCTTTTGAATACTAGTCACCTTCCCACCCTTTTTTCCTGATTGCCTGTTTAAGCCTCACCCTGATGGAGGACTCCTTCCCCCCAATGGTGTATTGGTTACTTACTGTGAAGTCCTAATGGTATCTATAAGGAAGGAAACATCCAGCCCCACCCAATGGCGGCTGTTACACTTACCTATCTGAGTTTATTCTTGGTCCTTCTCCTCATTAGGTATCACTACTTTTCTCTCCGTCTTTTTCCCTGTACTGTGTTTCTGAGCTTGCAGTCTACAGAACTGGAGGAGGCGAAGCTCTTTGTACACTGGAAGTCAGTTGGTTAGAAAACACCCAGGAGTCATGAGGTTCATCATCATAGGCATCCTTCAGTCTCGAGAGACTATGGTAACATGCTCTGAATCGAGGAGTGTTCTCTCCAGAGCATGAAGCCTGAGTAAAGTTATATGGAGGATAGGCTGTTACCCAAGCAGCAGATCCCCCCTCTCCACGTTGCTGAAATAGTCCAATGGAAAGGCAAAAGCCAATACAACTGGTTTCAGCGACGTCGCAGGAGTTGGCAGAACGACACATGCTATGAACTCCCAAATTGTTGTAGGAATGCAACTTAAAATGTAAGCACTGCCAGCATTCTGGCTTTTATCAGTTCCCCTCTTTAATAAAGACTCTCAACACATCTTCAGTGTCTCAGGGTCATACAGAACAATTTTATTTCCTTGTGATTTATGGCCCTCAGTGATTTTCCTAATGATAGCAGAACGAAATAACTGAAGGGTATTAGGATAGGCCTGCGGAAACCCAAGTCGTTTGCCAACCTTACTTTAATTGTTCATTCTCTGTAGACGTCTCCTGAATACCAGAGTCTTCAGGACTCCAGCTCTTGTTATGAAACCTTGGCAGTCCACCTGAGCAGAAGAAGAAAAGAAGCTGAATACACACAGGGCTTCTGGAAGACCTTTCCCGGGAAAATGACAGTATGTTGACTTGGATGTCCTGTTAAAACTAATTATATTCTCTGCTAATTGCACTTCAGTGAAATCATAGTAGCTTCCTTCCCTTTCCTTTCCCCTTTTCTATACTAACAACACTTCATTTTCAAAAAATGGTTATCTTTAGCTAATGTTTCTTTTTTTACTTATTATTCATCACAGTGTTTATTGCCATCAAGAAGCAGATATAAACCCCAGCTGTGGTGCATGACTCATCCTAGAGTTAATGACCATAGGTTGTTACTAATCGTCAAGTTTGTTGATCTCTCTTTTCAATTATAGGATTCTCTGAGGAAACCTGAACGACGACTAATCTGTGAAAGCAGTAATCGGGGATTGTCCCTGCAGCATGCTGGGAGATTCTCAGTAAACTGGTTCATCCTCTTTAATGATGCATTGGTCCATGCGCAGGTGAGCCTTCGTTGCACACCTAGAACTGAGGAGCATTTCCGTTATACTTGGCTGACTAAGGCAGCAGAGGTAGTTTTCTTAAGGGATATTTTGAGAAGATACATAGTAGTAACTGTCTGATTACTGGATGTTTTTGAGCAGTTGTGGAAGGCTATTTTCAACGTTACATAGCTGTTTTCACTCTAGTTGCGTCTTCCATAGGGAAGCATGCAGCATCTACAGGAGAACAGATAAAACAAATAATTGAAGGCCATCAGGGTAGCTGTGTGAGCTTATCCAGGGGATGTGAGTTTTGGGAGCTGGTCACTTTTGTCATTTTCAGTTCCCATTACACCACTTTCTTCTTTCTAGTTTGCCAAGAGAGAATGAGGCCTGTTCTTTGCCTTACTCTCAAAGTTCACATTTTGTAATTCACTAGCATTAGGCTGACAGACTTCAAGTTGTAGGCATTTAAGCTACCACCACGTTTTCCCCACAACGTACACTAAAAGCCAAAGGTTCTGCTAATTAATACGTTTATCCCATTTTTCCCACTATAGATTGATGGGGAGGTTGGAAAAGGCTTTGTGATCCATGCATATCAGAGTTGACACTTTCCATCACTCACATATAGGATGGGATGTATCACACTGTTGTGATTCACAGACAATTTGAAAACTGAAGTCAAGAGTGTCACAGTCGAATCAGGAGCTAGTGTAAGGTTTGGCTGCACCTTCTAATAACAAATACTGTTCGCAATCTGGTTTAGTGTCTCTTTCCAAAGGGGTTGGGGGGGGGAATAAAGGAAGAACACTCATAGCAATCAAATGTAATCATAGTATGATGATTTCTTTCTTGTTCTTGGTAGTTTTCAACACATCATGTTTTCTCCTTGTCCACACTCTGGGTCGAACCTGTTTCAGAAGAGTCTGGAAATACGTAAGTATTTTGGGGCTACTACTCGAAGACTTTTAAAAAAAATACTCCAGCCTTATACTACTCTTGGATCTTTTATCATATTGGTTTTAAAGCTGGTATCGTGCTTGTTCATGGTTAGTGAGGTAAAATTGTCCAAGGTGTTGATTTGGCCCTCGATTTTGTGGATTGGCTGATGCTGAAATTATTGAGGTTGGATGTCAGATATACTGATATTATACACAAGTCTACATTTCAGTATGGCTTCTTTAAAGGAGGTTACACATTTCTCATGTTTATATATTGTAAGGCTGGGAGTAACCCAAAGGGTACTCCACAGAGTGTACCGTCCGTCTCTCCCAGCAGAAAATATTGTAAGGCTGGGAGTAACCCAAAGGGAGTTTCCCAGCAGAACGACAGAGGACGAAGTGGCAACCATTGTTGGAGAGTTAAGGCAGTTGAAGATAGAGTCAGAAACACCAGAGGGCGCCAGTGTGGCAGGAAAGAAGGAAGATAAAAAAGAGGATGATAAAAAAGAAAGGCCAGTTCAAAGGAGGAGGAGGAAGAAGAAGATTTTTGAGCACAGGAGAGAGTAGAACAAGAGGAGGATTTGGTAGAGATAGTTCAAGAAGACCCCCAGACAGGGGAGTGAGTAGAGTTCAGAGTTCCTAGGAAGTACGGAGAAAGGGAATGGAAGAGACAAGTGTATAGAAAGCCACCTTATTGGGGGGAGACGGAAGAAAGAAAGCAGTGTAAAGAATACAAAGCCTGGCAGCAAAGAGAGGCCCAGAGACGAGAGCAAAGGAGATGTATGGAGAACCTTGGGAGATCCCGTGGGGCCAGTCCCTTCCGACTGAGATGGAGGCAACAACTGGGCAAGAAGGTTTGGGAGCCACAGTTGGGTTGGGTTTACCACCCTCAGGAATAATGTTAATGGAGCATGCACCTGGTGCATCGGGTATCATACCCAAGTGGAGCCAGGGATTTGCGAGTTCTTCACCCCAATCATTCAAAGGAAATTTGATGCATTTTGAGAGGGTTAAAACTTATGACTTATTGTTGAAACCAGAACGTATACATATAAATGAAGCAGAAGATTTGTTAAACAATAAACCAATTCTACTTGAGGATTTTTGGTGTGCAGCAATCTTCTGTGAGTCAAAAAGTATTGAAAGGGGTAAGGGACATGGGACAGGATCACAGATAGGTAGGAACATATGATGATTTTCCTCAGCCCCTTGTATGCAGAGTTGTATGCATAGGGAAGGGGGTGGAATTGTACAGGGTGATATTGTTGCAGGATTCACCAATAGGAGTGTCTTGGATTTAATCACTTTCAACTCTTTCTCTTTTTAAATAAGTAACTTATGGATGGGAGAATAGGCCCCAAAATGTCAGAGCAAAGCTTGGTGCTTTTTAAGGCTGAAATCCTATCAGTCTGTGTAGCATAGGTAAGCAATTGTGCAAGTGAGCCTGTCTGCACTCCTGTCCATTTGTCATGTTTCTCAGTGCTTTCCCAAGGCAAGGAAATAGTTGTGTGTCTGTCTGCACAATGAACAGCAAGTGACAAGGGAAAAAACACTGCTCACCATATGCACATAGTTTCCCCCTCCCCATAGGATTTTAGTCCTAGAAACTGGAAGGTTTGCTAAGTAGACCTTCTGATAGTTTGCAGATCCAACAGAGATAAAATAGAATACACCCAGTTAAGCAGAAATTTACAACTTCACTCAATCTGGATAATTTGTATAGGGTGTAGTACTTTTTAATTTAATGTTTCATTTCATTTTCGCACATATTCTCCATATATTTGTGCAAACAGTTGTGCTTATGAATGGAAATGAAATGAAATGCTTATGTGATACTTCATTATTGCAATTGGTTCTCATTTTTTAATAGTTTCAGAATAAAACAATCAGAGCAGCGGTCTCATTTTTTAATAGTTTCAGAATAAAACAATTAATTAGAGCAGCGGTCCCCAACCTTTTTCGGTCTGCGGACGGGCTGGGGAAGGCATGGCACCCCCCGTGCTCATGCACATGTGCAAACAAGCAAGTGCGCCCTCTCGACATGGCGCTTGTCTGGGTGTGCTTGTGCGCATGCACAAATGGCGATGTGGCGCTCGCGTGCAGATGCAAACGGGCTGTGCGGGGGTGAGTGCGTGCGGGGGTGGGGCAGAAGGTCAGTCTCGAAACAGGCTGTGCGGGGGTGAGTGCATGCGGGGGTGGGGCAGGAGGTCAGTCTCGGCAGCCCGGTCTGGCTCAGGCCACAGACCGGCACCAGGCCGTGGACCGGGAGTTGGGGACCTCTGAATTAGAGAATGCAAGTGTTTTGGATTTGAAAGTAGGACATTGATTTTAGCCAGAGGTTGGAGGAAAAAGGAGAAGCAGTAGTACATGATTGCGGGGGTGAGTGCATGCGGGGGTGGGGCAGGAGGTCAGTCTCGGCAGCCCGGTCTGGCTCAGGCCACAGACCGGCACCAGGCCGTGGACCGGGAGTTGGGGACCTCTGAATTAGAGAATGCAAGTGTTTTGGATTTGAAAGTAGGACATTGATTTTAGCCAGAGGTTGGAGGAAAAAGGAGAAGCAGTAGTACATGATTCTTTCAGTCTGTTTGCTTGATTGGTATTAATTTTTTTCTTTGCAAGTTGCAATAATCTTTTCAACTATTTTAAAACTTTACTCTTCTGCCGTGTTCTTTTTCATTGAACATCATTTGTTCTTGTTTATTTCTCTCAATTTTATCTGCCTATATTTTCTTCCTCTTAGGAATGGTTTGAGAATCACTACACCTGAAGAACAGTTCATTCTTGTTTCATCAACACCACAGGAAAAGGTAAACAAGACTTCTGTTTTCCCTGCCCTTTCCCTGCCTTGCTGTTCATAAGGTGGGTTAGTTAGTGAAAGTTGTATTCACATGGGATAGCAGTTGGCTTACCTGTAGGAACATCTTAACCGTTCTAGCTGTTTCTTCCTTTGGGGATAAGGTGCAGAGTAAGTGTCTGTTCTGACCTTGTTTCATATAGTGACAGAGGGAATCAAACTATAACACGGATTCCTGATAGCAACAATATGCACTATGGTTGTGCAACACCCATCCTTAGGCGGAGGATCGGATTAGAGGGTTGGTCTTCATGTACTCGCTTGTAATCCACTGTGGACACTTTCAGACTTAAGGTGATTCACACTGGCAAATGCCAATATGTTTTTTCTTCGAAGTTTAGAAGCAGAAAAACAGGTTAGGGGAAGTTGGCTACAATAGAACATTGTGCCAGCAGATTAAAAACTGGGCTTGTGCTACAGGTAGAATGTAAACATATGGTTAAGACATGATAATCCTGTGATTTTTATCATTCATGGATTCCATGATCCCAGCAGGTCTATGAAATATTCTCCACGTGATTCCTGGAGTCTTTCTATAAAAGTAGTTGTGGAAAGAGAGGAGAAGGGGGAACTCTGAGGGGCAGGCAAGTCTTTGAATTCTTTTACTGCAATTGTTTCAGACTAAGTGGTTGCGATCCATAAGCCAAGCTGTGGATCAAGCCTTAAAGGGGACGTCTGACTTGCCTCCTTATGGGGGTAGTGGAAACATTCAGAGGCAAGAGCCCCCCATCTCACGGACTGCCAAGTACACCTTTTACAAGGACCCTCGGCTTAAGGATGCCATTTATGATGGACGATGGCTTTCTGGCAAACCACATGGCAGGTGAAAATGTGCACATCTTTTTATATATTGGCCAGTTAGAGGGCATACTATTTACTTAAACTGCTTGTAAATAAGAAGTGAAAAGAAATCTGTGTGCTTTTCCTTTAACAATTAACAAGTGAAGCGGAGCCTTTAATAATTTTTTTAATAAAATTGAATAAGACATAACAAAGTATGTTGACAGCTTCTTTTCTTGTGCCCATTTTCCCTGAGCTCTAAAAACTAGCCTGAAACTGCCTAGTCATCTCTGAAATAATCCTACATAAAGTACAGTACTTAATGATGCTCCCAACAAGGCATTTGTATGATTTATTGTTCTCTGTCTGTTTCAGAGGGGTCTTAAAATGGCCAGATGGAAGAATGTATTCTGGCATGTTCAGAAATGGCCTGGAAGATGGGTAGGTAGAATGACAGGAGAATGGCAGGTGTCAGCTGGGTGAGGGAGGGAGGACAGCAGGTTTATCACTCAAAATATACTTGCCACCAACAGGATTGGTGAGTACTCTGCCTTTCAGTGGGAGTTGTATGATTTTGATCAACGTTCCCTCTAAGCTGCACAGTGTTGTGTTAGGTGTGTGCACCCACAGCCAGTGTTTCTCCCCCTTTGGTTCCAGTCCCAGCCAGAGCTGGGTGGGGGGCAAAGCTATGTGCACAGATAGTGGAGCCCCTCCCAGTGGGGACAAAAATTAGAGAGAGCATTAGAAGTAATCCTTTATTGACTATAACATGAGTATTTGGTCACCTTCTAAAATTAACTTTAGTCGCTGTACCAAAGTAGGGATTTAATTTTTTTTTAAAGACTGCTTGTTAAGTGATATGGGTGTTATGAAAATGTTTGTTGTGATTATTGGGAACCTAAGTGGGTTCAGATATCTGTATATTTATTGTCCTGTGGCCTACTTTGTCAGTGATTACTCTAGTAAAAGAAATAAAAATGTTTTTGAAAGGAACTTTAAAAGTTCCATTGATATTTTTGAGTACAGTGTTGCCTTGCTTGACGAGGATAATTTGTTCCAGCGAAATCGCTGTAGAGTGAAATCATCAAGCAAAATAAAAAAGCCAATTGAAATGCATTGAAAACTGGTTCAGTGCGTTCCAATGGGCAAAATACCTCAGCGTCCAGCAAAGATCCTCCATGGGGTGGCCATTTTCCGATGTCTGTGCAGCGAAAAATCCGTCCTGAACACAGCGGGGAGCCATTTTGAACAGCCGGCGGCCGTTTTGAAAACCAGACGATCAGCTGTTTTGATCGTCGTAATGCAGAGAATCGGTTCCCGAAGCAGGGGACCAATTATCGTAAAGCGGATTTTGCCCATTAAAACATCATTTTGCAGTCGCAAAAACATCGTCCTGAAGCGGATTCATCGTCAAGCAGGGTAATCATTAAGTGGGGCACCACTGTACAAAATTGGTGGAGTGTCTACATATTTCACAGTAGTAACAGACATGTATCTACCTTTCTCAGTGACCTCAGTCAAGCATTTTGAAAATTTTTGGCATCTGTGGGTTACTGTTGTCTTTTCTAAAAATATTCAGTGGGTATAACTTATGAGTAGTCTTCTGTCAGACAGGTCATTAGTGTTCTTACTTTTTGACATCAATAAGGTATCAAAAATAAGACAATTGAAGTTAACATGAATGCTTGGAATTGTTGAATGGATTATTATATAGGTACACCTGTGTAGTTCCTTCACTAGGGTAATTACTAGGTACTAATAGGAAATAGGCTGATGCAACATAAATGTATTGTATGATTTATACATTGACACTTTTGTCTTCTTTAAGTATAATTCACATGTACATATTGAGTCAGAAGTAAGAGCCACCCAGTCTGATGGATCTTGCTACAACATATACATATACAGGATTGCTGACCATGTTATAGATTTGATGTGGTAGTGATGAAGCTATTGTGGTTTATTTTTTTAGGCTGTATTTTGTCATCTGGTTGTTCATGCCTATTGTGTCTTTTTGTTTGTTTTCATAATGGCAGACATGGTGAATATACAGTACCAAACAAAATACTGAAAAAGAGTGACCACTATGTTGGATACTGGAAGGAAGGCAAAATGTGTGGACAGGGCATCTACAGGTAATACGCATACAACATGTAGATGATTTTGAAGGGCAGAATGTGTGGTCCTGGAGAAAATTGGAATTGAATTTACAATAGATTTCAAAGACCTATTTTACACACAGTGCATTTCATATATGAGGTACACTTTCTTGTAGGGAATAGTATAAGACACCTGTGTTACAAGCACTCATATAGATAGGTGAACGCCGTCTGGGTCCTGGCCTTAAGCACACAATGAATTATACTTAATAAACATCTTTGCAACAATTTACTCATAGGTTTAATCTCAGTTGCTGTTGCCGATTATAGAATTATAGAAGCCATAATAGAACACATGAGATTTCTATCAGGTGGTGTGATGATGGGAATGTCCATGTTACTGAAAATAATCTCTCACATTCCCTTTAGAATGTGCAAGTACACATGTATATACTGTAGTTTCCCTCCTGTTTTTCATTGGTGGAGGAATAAATGCCTTTTAAAAAAGATCACGTCCTAAACCCTTCTGGGCTTCTGCCTTTCAAGAATAGAAGCAGAACATGTGGAGAAAGTGCCATTTATTACTGAGAAATTCTCAGGTTCTGTATGCAGAGAGATGTTTTTCATTTCAGCTATGGTACAGGCGAAGTATATGAAGGCAGCTTTCAGGATAACATGCGTCACGGCCACGGTCTCCTGCGCAGTGGGAAACTGACTTCCTCCTCTCCCAGTATGTTTATTGGCCAGTGGGTGATGGATAAGAAGACTGGATATGGTGTATTTGATGATATCACAAGGTAAAGAGAATTGGAATATTATGAATGAATGTGCTAAATTACCATGTAGCACTGTTTAGAATAATCGACAAATTTAGGGAATAAAGTCTAAATTATTGGCTGATAGTCACCTAAGAGCCTTCTAGATGAAACAGGAGTTCCTTCCAACCCTAGTTTACTCAAAGGAAATAACGACCCAGCATATCATTGACTGCCTCTGAAATCTGTTAAGTTCTCCATCCTGGGAGAAAAGTGGCATCTTGACTGGCATTTGTCAGTTCAAAGGTGGGATAGAAATCCAACAGATAGATAGGCAGAAAATGTTAAGCGATTAATAACCTGCCTTTGAAACTAGGGATAGGGAAGAAATCTCTTCACAATCTAAGCCTACCTAAGTAATTCTTCTCAAAATAGAGATACAAAGTGAAAAGCAGCTATTAAAAGTGTTTGCACAGCTCCAAATTTTGCCATTATTTCTCCGATTAAAAAGGTATGCACGTTTGATTATACTAGGGAAAGCATCAATGAGAGCATCAATGTACGGCAACCCTATGAATGAGAGATCTCCAAAATGTCCTGTCCTCAACAGGATCTTTGGTTCAATCATCATTCATCTTTTTCGTGGTCCAGGGTATCCGGAAAACTCTCCTACAGCATCACATGTCAAACGAATCAGGGTTTTTTCCCTGTCAGCTTTCTTTACTGCACAGCTTTCGTACCCATACATGAGGATCAGGAATACAAGAGTGTGTTAATGATCTTGGCCTTGGTCTCCAGTGACACATTCTTAGACCTTTGGTCTCGATGGGCGGGATAGAAATCTAATAAAATAAATAAATAAATAAATAAAATTACAGTTAAGGATCTTTTCTAATTCTTTCATTGCCACCCTTCCAAGTCTCATTATTCTTCTGCAGGCTCCATTTGGATTGATGTTTGAACCAAGGGTACCAATGTACTGTATTAGTACAATAATGTAAATTACACTGTCTTACGGGAAATTGCTTTTGATGAATGTGTATATCAAGTAGAACTGTATTCAGGAGTGTTTGTCTCAGGAGATGTGCTCACAAACACCTGCACATTTTAAAACACCAATCACAAACATGTGGAAACTGGACAAAACTTAAGACTGCTGAAATGGAGAACCAGAGTTGACAAATGTGTCCAGCCCTACTTTTAACTTATTCATTAATCGGTATTTAAATAAATACTCATACTTAATATCACTGTCATGTATTTAAAAATCTTAATATAGGTGCTCTTTTTGAAATAATTAGGGAACAGTGAAAACTTGTAACTTCATAAAATTCTATACATATTTTGTTAAAAGGAAAGTCGATAATAATATAATATTCTTTTCACTCCCCATTGTATTAAGAAACTAGACCAAGTAAGTCTCAAAAATAAATAAATAAGGGCACCAGCAGCCCTAAGGAGGCATCCGCTCATAAACTTGAGTGGCACAGAACAAAAAATGCTTTAATTTTTAGATAGCTTCAGAGAGTGGCTTCTGGCTGATCCTCCCACTCTGGAAGCACCATTGTTGGATTGCTTCTGACACAGACAAGGAAGAAATGGCAGCTGTAAGAATTTTAGTAAAAGGGGGATTATGCTTACCATTAATAATTTAGTTGTGTGTTAGATTCATGAGCATGATTTGCACATTGCCGTTCAAATCGACACTGCTTAGGCTCCCCTTTCTCGCCATAGACCTTTGATGAGGTTGTGTGGTTGCATCACCAATGCTCAGCTATGTGGGGCAGAATCTCTCCGTTGCTAAACCCTTTGAGGCAAAGAACAGGAAGCTGTGCTTTATAGCTGCAAGCAGTAACTTTTTCCTCTGTCTTCAGGGGAGAAAAATACATGGGGATGTGGCAAGAGGACCTGTGCCAAGGCAATGGGGTTGTGGTTACACAGTTTGGACTGTATTACGAGGGAGCCTTTAACAGCAATAAAATGATGGTGAGTTGCATGTATGCAAATTGTGTTGTGATTTAATGATAGAGGGAGCATACCCAGCAGTCTTTGCCATTTTTTGCTTCTTAGATAGGAAAATGCATATGTACATTCTTATGCTGAGTTGGAGCTGGATTACCCATGAGCAGAATTTTACTCCTCGCATGCTCCTCCTGGAGGAGACAAAGGTGACTGTTGCTGATTCCCTTGGCAGCTGCCGTGCTTCATCTAAATCTGTTCTGGAGTTGTTCGGAGCAGCATGGGAGGTGGTGGTGGTGGTGGGGATGCAGGCAGAAGTGGAAGTCAGTGGATGACTCTCCCTGGTTTTCTTCCAAGAGGAGATTTCATTGGCTCTCTGACCTTTCCATAAATGCAAAGTGCCCTTTGATCTATGGAAATACAAATCAGGATCTGGTCCGGTAGGCGGGTTTTTTTTGGGTGGTTTCCATACAAACTACAGTGGGGTCTTGACTTGAGAACTTAATCCGTATTGGAAGGCGGTTCTCAAGTCAAAAAGGCTATAGGTCAAGTCTCCATTGACCTACAGTGCATTGAAAACCAATTAATCCCGTAACAGGCCGTTTTTGTTCCATTTTGGTTTTTTTCTGGTCTGTAAGTCAATTCTCAGGCTGCAAGTCAAACCTAAATTTTGCGGCCAGAGAAGTCTATAACTCAAAAAGTCTGTAAGTCAAGCCGTCTGTAAGTCAAGGGTCCACTGTAATGTTGTTTGGCTTTTTACAATTATTAATTAATTTGTAAACTTTTGTGTTATTTGCAAAAATATTTGTAAATGTTGTAACCACATACCAGATAGTAAACGTGAAAGAAAAGAGAATTCCATCTGTAACGTCTGTTCAAGTAGGAAGGTTTAAACTGAACAGGTTTTGTGTTTACATAATAATTAGAAATTTGTTCAAATGTCTTTAATACCCCTTGATGTAGGGGGTTGGCGTCTTGCTTTCTGAAGATGACACTGTGTACGAAGGAGAGTTCTCAGATAATTGGACCCTGAATGGGAAGGTTGGTAATTCATATTTTTGGGACATTTAGTTTTGTAGAGTAAAGCTAGTCATTCATAATCATTGTATGACTTTTGCACTGTGTTTTGTTTTTTTTCCCCACTTGCCTCCCCCTAAGGGAACATTGACATTGCCAAATGGAGACACTGTTGAAGGTAGTTTTAGCGGTGAATGGGGATCTGGGATAAAGGTTGCTGGAACTTACATCAAGCCAAGTCTATACGATCACGAGAAGGACCAACCCAAAACTCTGTGAGTGGACGCAGATTACCTACTGTACTTGTATCTTCGTCGGTGACTAGCTGGAGTACTGAGCATTGATGTGGCTGCAGACCATACCTATATGACCTTGTTTGCCGCCCAGAGTAGACCATAGGTCTAGATGGGGGGGGGGTATAAATCTCATAAAATAAATAATAAATAAAATAAATCCTGGGTGGGCAGCTGGTTTGGCATAGCGCCCTTGCTGCTAATCCATGGCAGTGCAGTTGTTGTTCTGTGATCTTTGGATGACAATTTGTTGTACAGCTTGTTACAAAAGACCAGCCCTCTTCCTGTGGTTCCGCAGTAGCCACCCTGTGGCCCCAAGAGGCCCAAATGTGCTCCCAGCTCCCCGTAACTCCCTAGCGCTCACATTCCTCCAGTTTTATATATATACATTTTGGCCATATTTTGAGTATTCCCCCCCCCAAGTCCTCATGCCCCTCGATTTTATTTTATTAATTTAAACTGTGGACTGAAGGCACAAGGGGCCTTTTTAAATTAAACAATTCTAAGAAAAAACAGTGGCAGGGGGATGTCTCAGGAGCGGGTGCATTTGTGGTGCTTCAAGGTCCAGGGACGGGCACACATTGCTTCCACTCCTCTGGAGATTTTCTATCCCTTTGCAGTTCATTATTGTTACCAATAGATAAACCATTTATGCATTGAAAGTTTCTCATTATTGTTACCAATAGATAAACCATTTATGCCTTGAAAGTTTCTCATTGTCATCATCATCTTTGAACTACAGAACTGGAAGGGACCCTATGGATCATCAGGTCCAGCCCCTGTCAAGGAGGCACGGGGGGGGGAATCAAACTCCCAACCTCTGGTCTCAACCACAGAGTTATCCAGCAATTCATATGTTTTGCTCCTTATCAATTTTCCATTACACAAAGGAGCCTGGGCTTTAAACTGATAAAAGAATGACATTGAATCTGAAAAAGTCCTCTTAAAATACCTTTTAAACAGCCTTAATGTAAGGCCAGTTAAAAGTCCCTTAAAAGTAACTAGAAAAATGTTAATTGTTACAAACACACACACACTTTCCATTTGTGAAGCTACTTATAAAATGTAGCTATGTTTCACCTCCATTCCATTCACAAAAAGTAACTTATTACGGGTAATTCTGTCACTTGTAACTTGTTCCTTATATTCTTCAGTAAATCATTAATGTTTCAAAAATAGAACACGAGGGGATTCAGGAATCTATACTGTAGAGGCAAGTCCACAAAGGAGCTCCTACAGAAAACTGGAGTTATACCCCTCAGACAGTAGGAATTGAAACTATCCAACTCATCTAATGCACAAGCCTGGTTTCAGGCATTTTTATAAATCATCAAAGAAGTGCTATTGGGGAATAGGTTGCATGTAAGACTTATGCATAGTGTGTAGCTTGTCACCTCCGAAGAGTATTGATGCAGCTGCCGTTCAAGTTATAGTTTTGTGATTGTTTTGGTCTTGGAAGCAAAGTTTCCCCTCCCCCTCTTGTTTTTATAATAACCCTGTGTCTCTTGCTCCCAAATTTTCTGCGTCTTTTCAAAAACATTTGCTATTAATTAGTTTCGACATCACTGATGCCCTAAATCTGAATGTGAAGTCAGCTTCCCTGCTGCACTGAACATACATTCTTATGAACTTTTTTTTGACCCCACTAGGGGGTCTATGAATAAATGCATGGAGGCTCCCGTAAAGCATGGATTGTCGGCTGTCCTTATTTTAAAAGCTGCTTTCTGTTCAGAACTAGTGTGAGGTAGTTGCGTTTCCTTTAACAAAACTAGAAATTTTTTTGGTACTTACTTTTCCAGAGTAGCATAGTGAGAGGCAGACTTTCTGCTTTCAGGGGAGACTTTGTGGTTGCTCCAAAACTGGAAGATTCCTATAATACTGTGAAAAGGATGGATTTAGTCTTGAATGTACATTTCTCAGTTCTGTTGCAGATTGGCTTTCCCCTTGGGCACAGATAATTCATTTACTGATTGAGAAAGCAATGATCTTACTTTATCCAGATAATTCATTTACTGATTGAGAAAGCAATGATCTTACTTTATCTTACTAAAATTATCAATGGCTTTTCATTATACACTAGATGTATTAGAGTAAGCTAAATTGGGCAAGATGAAGACATGGATAACTAGATTTCAGAGAACAAGAGACTTTATTTATGCAGTTAGGAAGAATTCTGAGTCAAAGCATAACCTTGAAAAACAGGTTGTTTTTAATATGTTTATATACAAGATACATACATTACAGGATGTTGGCAAGACCTTTTTTTAAAAAAACTAATCTATTTTATATTTACAACATGCTGTATCAGACATCCAACATTATCTAATGCATTTGTTAAGTACTCTGACATTTTCACTGTTAAAACTGTAGTGTGTTCCAACAGTTAAACACTGTGTAGAAAGGAAGGGCACAATCAAACTGGCTTAATGTTGAACAATGTAACTTTTGGAGGTGAATTACTTCAAATTAAGAAATCACTGTAGAGCTTATTTATAATGTTTACGGTGATTTCTTAATTCGAGGCAATTTGCTTTGAAAAATTACAGTGGCATTACTTTCTAAGATGATTTTGGCCAAGGAACAATAGCCCAAGGATCTGTAACCAGAAAAATGTGCTTATACCATTCATGTGCAAAAACTGGCACTAAATTCACACAGTTTGGCATTCTCTTCAACTATCTTCTCTTTTACAATTGAAGGAAGCATGTTTTTACTCCTGAAGGCTGTGAAGGCCTTGAAAGTCGGTGGCAGTGTATAATGAAACCTACAGGTCAGAAGAAGGGGATTGGAGCAAAGGGGAAATATCTTTCTTGCAAGAGATTTTTGCATTCAAAATACTTACACACCTTTGAGGTCTAATGCCCTCCTAAAGTGGCTTGTTATTAAAATTCAATGTAATAGTGGAGCAACAAATAAGAACAAACTCATTAAAAATTTAGGGCATAATTAGATTTTGTGTAATTCTTGGTCTGAAGACCATGAGCAGTTTAATCAAACCCTCAAGAATGTCAGGGCACCAGTCCCTTTGCTATGTGGAAGCAGAATAAATGACACAGTTTCTCTCTCTTTGCTTGACACCTTAGTGGGTTTTTTGTTGCAGAATTTGGGTTGCCTCTATTCTCAAACATATTGGGGGACACAAAACCCTGTTGTTGTTGGGGATTTTTTGAGAGTTATGTGTTGATTTTCTGTCCCAACCTGCTTGCAGGGCCTAATAGAATGTTCTGACTTTTGGGAGAAACTGTCCACTTTGACTTCATATGTTTCCATGAGACTTTTTTCTTTGCCAGGAGGAAGCTTGGAAACCTTGCTGTTCCTGCTGATGAAAAGTGGAAGGCTGTGTTTGAAGAATGCTGGCACCGGCTAGGCTGTGAACAACCAGGCCAAGGGGACAGGTGGAAAGCTTGGGATAACATTGCTGTTGCCCTGACAACCAATCGGCGTCAACACAAAGGCAGGTTAGTTGTGTGGAATGATGTCTTTCAAGCAGCACCAAAAAATTGTAATTCAGAACTCAGTAGTCATTTAAATCCACAATCAGGCATAAATACATTACTTTCCCTCGTGGTCATTGTGGATATACAGTATACTAAAATATATGCATCTTGTATGTATGCATAAGTTACATGCACATTTTTAAACTCTGGTTCGTCAACAGTTTCAAAAGCTTTTGTAATCCCAACATATTATCATCTACTAGATAGTGGTAGAATACAAGCATGCTAATGAGGAGCTTTATAATAGGTACTATATTTACATCTGCTGCCCATAATTACTGTATTTAGCCATCGAAAATATTACAGTAACAGTAATTATGTTGAAAGGTAAATGGCTATGAAGCAATATTTTAGTAAAATACGAATATTGGTATCAGATCACAATAAATACCAAGAAAGAGATTATGCCAATTGGTAGAAACTAAGGAAAACTAAATTCTGCAATGGCTCACCCCAAAAAATTGGGAAAGAAACTTCAGTGATGATGTGATAGTAGCAGCCCGTCTTAACGGCTGCCATAGTGGAAGTTCCAGCTCTAATGCTAAAATGATGCAAACCAGTAATTATTTGAGAGAGGAAGTTTGAATCTGGAAAGTACAATAGTTACTGTAAAATTGCAAGTAGTCAATATAGCAAAATGTTTGAGATTATGAGTGAAATACGTTTTTCTGATGCACATTTTAAATGTTTCAAGCTTTCCAGTCTTAATGATACATATATATTTTGAGGAAATTATATTTCCTTCATGGGTTGGAATCCACAGTTATCTTCCATTCAGAGAAAGGATTCATATCTTGAGGGAGTGTTGTTCATGAAAGTGGAAATTATTTCTACCAATGTGCTCTGCACCCCTTGAAAAATATACTAATTTCTGATTGATCCATACTACACCCTTGAGTTAAAGAATCTTCCTGATTGTGGAAAGCTATTGTCAGACCCAACCCAGTTTTTTAGTTAGATTTATTTCATTTGACTTTTTACATTTGGTTCATATGTGCTTTCTGTATAAAATTTTCCTATTCCTTCTGTTGTTGCAGTCCAGAACTGTTGAGCAGATCGCATGCACAAACCTTGGAAAGCTTGGAGTTCATTCCGCAACACGTTGGTGCCTTCACATTGGAAAAATATGACAGCATTAAGAAATATCTCATAAAGGTATCCTGATTCTTACTGGATAAGCTATCATACCTGCAGGCCAGGATGGAAGCAATGAGCAGCCAGAACTGTTAGTCATTGTTCAAATTGGGGGGCAGGGGGAAGGTTTCTGTGTTCAGTAAATGTGACATTAATTTTCCGAGCATCTTGATTTGAATTGGAGCTATGAAACCAGCTTTAACCAGCAAATCTGAAGAAGTCTTTCATCCCACTTTAAACAATGGGAATGTTAGTGTATATTTTTCATAGTTGTAGTTGTAGAAGAAGTAGTCGTGTTAGTCTGTGCAAGCATATCAGGCAAAATCCAAACAAACAAACAAAAAGATAAAAATATGTGGCATAGTTAGTCTTTAAGGTGCCATGTGTTTTTTTGTCTTTTTAGGTATGTATGTATGTATGTATGTATGTATGTATGTATGTATGTATGTATGTATGTATGTATGTATGTATGTATTTATTTATTTATTAT